GGTATGTCAGGTTTCTTGTTCTAATGGTGCCTATCCATTACGGATTTTGGACATCATCAAGGCTATTGTTGACTGCTGCCCTAAAGTCCGGTAATGGGGGCATTTCCCGAAGGCAGCATATTCTTCTTCTTTCTGGAACTATTTTTCCATGCACCTTAACTTTCTAGTGTGGTCTGAAGTAGGTCGTGTCATTGTTTATTATGCATTATATGATCAAGTTATTACAATTTGCTATGTTTTATGGTTATGACTAGTTCAACTCCTTTCTGTGTAGAACTTCTTTGTTGGTAACTTTGCCTTGTTATGAACAAGAGACAGTATACATCCCTGTCACACACCTCTTTTTATCTTTATGTCATCTGTTAAAAGTTGCAGTTTATTCGGAATAGATATTGTTTGTTATACGGCAGTGTCTTTTGTCTAGACCAAGTGAATTTAATATTTTATCAGTTTTTTTTTATCTTGTTTTTTTCTATCGAACGGTCTCTGATAATCAACAAAACACATATCTATATCATCACAATTCACATGTCAAATACATTGTTGAAAAATACTTGTGTTGTAAAAAGTGCCTCTCGACTACCCAATGTATCTCTAAAGCTGAATTGTGTGTTTCAAGTTGATTTAAACCACTGTTGGAGTATTTTTCACTTTGGTATCTATTGTTGAAGATCAAGGTAAGCGTTTTTACTGCGTCTTTCTCCATAAAAAACTTTAGAAGAAATAAATTTAATATACAAAGTACCTGACATCATAATTTTAGCTTTAAGGAACTCTTTTTTTTTTGTCTCCAAAATTACCTTAGTTTTATCTACATTTGATGTTATTTCTAATAGAAGAAAATAAGTCACAGCATCGATTATAAACCACTACCTAGATACCTCACTCTAAGGTAAAAACGAATTCAGTGTTAAACTCCGCCCACTTGCACCTCTTTGCCCCTCACGCCTAAGTACTACCTGACTGTATGGTGGCGACATTCATTGAAATCTATGCCAATATTGAAAAATAAATTTCAGTTCCTGGTCCGGCAATTCTCTAGTGCATTAGAGGACGATATAAGGATGGCATTCAGCATTTTCACAAGTAATTTTAACGTGCTTGTAATCTATATTATGAAATTAAGAATTTACTTCAGAAAAAACGCTAAAAATTGATTAATGAAAACAGTAAAGGTTTTTTAAAAATTATTTATTTATCAACACAAAACAAAAAAATAACAAAATATAAAATACATAATAAAATTAGCAGTGATAAATTACATCTCATGTAAATTACTTTTTTGTAACTTTTCAAACAAATTAATTTCCAGATTTAGTCCATTCACTCACGGTAAAATATTGCAAAACCTCATAAGTTTAAAGAATCGCTTGGATTGACATGAAATTTGGCTTACGCCTAGCTAAGATGTCAAAGGAAAAAAGATTATGCTTTTACCCTATGGATCAGTATCATCCCTTATCGGGAGTAAAAAAATATATGTTCAAGAAAAGTTCGGAAGTGCCTAAAATCAGTAATTCTAAGCAACTTTGGTTTTATAGAGGTTTTTCACTATGTCAATACTTTTCGAGTTATTGAAAAATAGGTTCTTATTCGTCAAATTCCATGTTGAATATTTCAACGTGACATAATAAAAACTGAAGCACTTTTCGACGAAAACTCATTACAACTTTTTTTAAAGTGTTTTAAAAAGGTTTATTTTATAATTAAGTTTCTTGCATTAAGAGTATGCAAGTTATGACCAAAATATTCAGAAAAGCAAAACCTACATTTTTTTACTCTTTGTGATTTTTGGTGTCACTAATAAATTTTAAGTTATTTTGAAAAAAATGCTTTTTTTTAATTAAAAGAAAATTTAAATTAAAAGAAAATTGTTAAAGTCCTTTAAACAAATGAAACTTACAGATCATTATAATAATAAAATAAAAACAATGACCAAGGTATTTATTAGAGAAATCAGGACACGCATTGAAATTGCAAGACAAGCATTTATAAAAATGAAAAAAATGTTTGTTAATCGAGATCTTATCTAGTTTTGATGAGAAATAAGCCACAATTTTACTAAAAAATGGGTTTTATTAACGTTTCGACGCCCAAATTGGGTGTCGTTGTAAAAATACAAAAATTATTAATGAATTAAACATAACTGTTGTTGCTTAGTAAAAAAATTCTTCTAATAATTTATTTAATCTGACTCATTTATATTGGCAATTCAGACATATATTATACATTTTAAAGTAGAAGACTTTAAAATGATATTGCCAATATTTATGAGTTGCGTTCATGGGACTATATTTATATTCTAGCGCGAGAATTTTACTGTCACTATTGCATGTGGTTGTCTATTTAAAGACATATTACATGTTATGATTTTTTTGTGACGGATATTCTTCAGTTGGGGTAGATTTCATGTAATCGAATTAATTATCTTTCAACAAAGTCGTCCCAGGAACGCAACTTGTAAATATTGGCAATGTCATTGCCAATGTTTAATTATCTACTTTAAAATGTATAATATATGTCTGAATTGCCGATATAAATGAGTCAGATTAAATAAATTATTATAAGAATTTTTTTTTACTAAGCAGCATCATTTTTGTTTAATTCATTAATAATTTTTGGGTAAAAGGGTAAAAGATCCATAGGTAGAAAAAAATTTCATGGTTGAGAAACTTAAGAGAGTGGTATAGTTGCAGCTCAATAGATCTTTCCAGAGCAGCCGCCAATAAAGTACGGATAGCTGTGGTGATGGCCAACCTTCGATAGGAGAAGGAACTTCGACAAGAATAGGATATTAATTTTGTTCTAATAGTAACATTGTACTACAAAAAATTGACAATTTATCTAGAAATGGCAATATAGAAGTCAATTATATTCTGTGCAAAATAAGAAATTGTATAGAGGTGAACTAAAATCACTATGATCTACTTTCGATCGCATACTTTTTACATTTAAAAATTTTCTGAGGACTTTCTGGAATTACGTCATCGAGGTTTTAAAAGCAAGTAGTGGTGAGTACCAAATGCAATCGATTATGACTTTAACAAAATACCACAAATTACCAACGTTAAAAATGAATAAAGTAAGTACATATCTTGATAAAATGACAGGGAATTTCCAATACATAAATAGATGAGGGCCATCTGCCTAGGAACAATAGGTAAAAGCTGATAAACGGACAGGATTAGAAAGTTTAAAACATCACTAATTAGATCATATTTCAAAACAAAGTAAATAAGTAAATTTGAATGTTAATTCTTTTCTAAGATTGTAAAATTAAAATTTTAGGAAAAAAAATATTTATTATTTCTTGTTCTCAAGAAGTACTTTCATTATTGAAAATATCGAAACTTTTTATTATTAAAAGTCGAGAAGAATTTTCTGAGGTAACGTACCTACATATTTATATAAAAGTGCGGTAACGTACATATTTATATAAAAGTGCTATAAAAATGTTCCACTGCAAAATGATGCTAGCAAATTACCCTCTGTTTTAGGGAATAATATCAATATTCCCGCAGTTTTTTTGCCAAATTTTTGTGCGCTCTACGTCTTTCAGGGGAAATTTAAAGAAAGATATATTATTATTTGTTCCATCGTTTCTTTCAAAACATCCCACGTAAACACATTTATGCGTTACACAGGCCACTTTATCTAAAATGTGAGTCCTTTTTTTTATAAAATTTCGCTATAGCTTGTCACAACACTTCACACAGATAATACACTTATAGGGTAAGTTCGGCCCTGACACCACTCCTATCTCCTCGCAAGTCAGAGAGAGAATGCGAATCTCGATACGGTTTTCGAGTAACGCCATCTAGTTTTTGATACGTCTTTCGGTTACCACGAGGTGAGCTATCTAGGTAGTGGTTTATAATCAATGGTCACAGTGTAGGGGAATACAAACTTTGAGACAGTTCATTAGTTCCTTTTAGATGCGTAAATACTAAATAGGCCGTCCTACTTAGGAAACAAGCCGTTTATAGTAAAAAAAATACTTGATAATTAAATTTGACATTGAATTACATCATCTTCACCTTGGACTATTTGACAAAAAAAAGCACTGTGTCAAATGCTGACAGAGTAAAAACATTTATAAATAGTAACATAACGTCGCCGTGTAGGTCAAGGGAGCCAAGCCACAATTTTATCCAAATTGAGTTAGGTGCATGCATAGGATGTATTTAAAACCCTCAAAAAATGGCGTGGTCAAAGGATTTGAGCAATAAATAATGTCTTCTTCTATACTATTTTAAAATTCGCTAATAAATCTAGCACATACACTTTAAAATAGTCAACGACAATAAGCCGCTTGTATTCATTAACTTCCATAAATTATTTATCCCTATCTTAAAAGAATTCGAAGTCAACAGATCTGAGTGGCGTATCTCTGTTGACCACTCAATATAATGCAACCGGCCCTCGCATCGGTTAGATTTAAACGGTTTGTACACTAATATATCTTACTAACCTTAACCTTACTAAGCAAATAATTAATAAATTCTTAAGCAAATTTAACAAGAATTTAATATGAAAATGTATTTTTTATCAGACATGTGGTTTAGTTATCCGTGACTTAGTGTTTCGATTTCATTTTTTCAGTTTGTAAGTGTTTCAGTTTTTCAATTTCTTGAAAATGTATTCGTGTGCGAAAAATATGGTTAATTTAGCTTTAAATAGTTTTCACCAAAATAAACAAAAATCGAGATAATCTCGAAGTAAGTGAAATATTAATTTTTATTGTATACTTGTTTGTATTAATAGGTACATGGTATCCGACTAATATTTGTGTATTTAGCATACCTTTCCTACACTTTTAGGGTCCTGATGGATGTAAATGAAAGGATGAACTGTAGGTAATGATGCTGGTTTATTTGGCACATTTACCTATATTTATACACCAATTGATTAAAATTTTATTTTTTTTAACTTTAAATTTTCAGTTAAAACTTAAAAATTAAAATTTTTTTTTACTTATAGATTCTGATCAACTTGGTGTACAAGCACAATCTGTCGAATCTTTTGAAATATCTGGATGAGACGAATCCATAATCACTCACTCAGTATACCAATTGGAGAACATAGTCAGGATATAATACAAGCACAAGTATGTGGATGTGGACGAAAGAGCTAATCAAGCTGAGTATGCAGAGCTTAAAAATGTGACACTACGAGAATATCAGTAGAAAAAACTAAATGTATAGTGATCAGTAAAGAGCCGCATAAATGCAAACTAGAAATAGACGGCAAAATTGTAGAACAAGTAATGAAATTCAATTACCTAGGAGTAGAGATCACTAGTGACAGGGATATAAGAACAGAGACCACAAGGCAAGCATCAAAAGCGGCAAGAGTAAGTGGTTGCCTCCGAGAAACCATATGGAGAAACAAATATCTGATCACGGAAAGCAAAATGAAAGTATACAAGACAACAGTAAGACCAATCCTAACATATGCAGCGGAGACAAGGACTGATATAAGAAAGACGAAACAACAAATCAACAATATCGAAATGAAAGTATTAAGATCAATAGCGGGCATTTAAGAGACAGACAAGCCAACAGAAGTATACGCGAACAATGAAAAATTCGAAATATTAACAGGTGGATAAAAACAAGAACATCTGTAAAAACAACAAACCGTATAGCAGAAGACCGCCAAAATGGCGGAAAGATACTGTACAGTCAATAACGGCTGAAACAGAATAAAAGACAGACACAGGAGTAATCCTAGTCGCACGAAGAAGAAGATAATATTGATATTATACACAATGAGGACATAAACTTGGCACCAGAGTTTCAAGATCTACACCAAGTAGCACCCCATCTACCTAAAGTTCAACAAGACCCTAATATGCCTTGATCATCTACATATGTAATATCCTTTAACGACGACAATGCTAAAAATTAGAAACTTCAAAACCGTGAAGTCGTTATAGCAGAAACTTCCAGTTTTTCTGATAATGATGAAAATAGTGTAGTGCCATGTTCCGCCACTTCTACAAACCTAACTGAAGAACCGTTATCTCGAAAACGAAACCGAAACCCAAACAACTAGAAGAGAAATTCACAAAAGACATTGAGATTGGCACGCAAAGAATATCATAATAGAACAGGAAATAACATTCGAGCTAGGATGGTTAGAGATGTTACCTGTAAATGCCATTATAAGTGCAATACCAAAATAGAAAAAACACAGCGTGAGCTGTTATGTGAATGTTAAGTGAATATCTAAGTCTGGATTCTGAGAGATCAAGATAGGTAATTATAATAATAAGCTAGGTAATTACAAATAAGTCTCAAGCAGAACAGGGAAAATTGAGGAGGATAAAAGTTAAATGAATCCAGTAATGTAAAAGTTGCCCCAAAACTATTTATTTTAAATATAGATTAAATGACAACGAATTTGACTCACTGAAAATTGAAAAAAACAGCACAGAAGAGTACCCAATTTTGAAGTATCAAGGTTATATCTGTCAAAGCCTAAAATAAACAAAAATAAATTAAAAGACCTTTTAAAGCTATGTGAAAATGGGAGTGTTCCGTCTACATATCACAAGTTTTATGAAAGCTTGGAACCAGAAGATGAATATGGACAAGAAAAGCCTGATACAGAGAGTGATGGGGAAGATTAATTAGTAGTAAGAGTAGTGAGTCTATCACATGACAAATGTTACATAGGTGTTAACAAATATTTAAAAAAAAGTACATATTAAAGATCGTTTGATAAGTCCCTAGAAAAGAAAAGAGTTTGTTTCATTGAGAACATGGTTAATTTTTAGTACACTGCGAAAAACAAAGAAATATCCAAGATATTTTTTTTTATCTTTTTATAAGAATTTATTTAACGACCCTCGTATTGTTTTACTAATGATAAAATTGATTTGTGCGTAATATTCAACTTACGATGATGATAAAAGTAGTTTTTTATGTTTTCATCTTAAATTGTTTTTTTTTACTTTCATTTAAATTTTCTTTCCTTTTGATTCTCATTTTGATATTTTGTAAAGACTTTTTAAAGCGCCTATTTACAAGGCCCAATGAAAATAAATTATTTTGACTTTGACAATATACTGATTTTGTAAATTTATTGTCGTTTTTCTTTTTATTATTTGAATTAATAAATTTTTAAAAACCTAAATGCGACCATTTTTATATTACTTATTAACATTTAATGATAAACAAGATTAACAGATATTGTAGATTATAAAAAAATTTAGAAGCTTTTCTCCCAATGGTCAGTTTCTCACCCAATAATTCTGTGGCTTGATGAATTTGACTGCCACACAAGGTTCTAAATATTATGTTACTGTTCAGTGGTCAAGAGGTATAATACACATATCTTTTGAAGTAACAACTTAAACATGAATTAATTTAATAAGATAAGTAGATACAATCTAAAATCAGGTATATTCACAATTTAGTCATCAAAAAACAATAAATTTTTAATTAAAATTTGCAAAAACTAAGTAATTTTGTCACACGAAATCCTTGAGCGCCTGTTTCTCAGGTATACTTTTGTGAACTGAACCATGGACCTCCACAGCGACGATAAACAGACAGATGTCATCTCAGGAACTACAATCACTTTATTTTATCCTATATTTGAGGCACAAGTTCTTGTACTGAGAATTAGAGATAATAAGAAATGTATATTGAAGGTCATATTACAGATGAGACCTTTCTGGTAAAGGGTTAAAGTATACAGCCTAATTTTATTTAAGATATGAATAGAAAACATTTTATTGTGAAGTCCAGATAACTGATGCATACAACAGGTGTGATCTACTCAGCTCCACATATAGCAATTTCATTGCATTAACTGATAGCACATTGCTATCCCTTTTTCCAATAGGAAGATTATACAGATCTTGTTGAGGTAACCCCATATTAAGCTAGTAACACTCAAAAACAATTTAAGATCATCATAATTCTTTAGATAATTTTTAAGATCATTAACAAAATAAACAGAATAAAGGAGGCAAAACAGTTAAAATAAAATAATTATAAAACATAATTTTCATTACAATGGATAAAGGAGACCTTGAGGAATGGTCCTAAATTAATCCACCCAACAAGCGTTTTATGAAGCTTTTCTGTGGACAGCAAATTATTTATTATATCTAAAAGTCAGTCCAAATTAACTGAAAATAAGTAATCATTTAACCCCAGAGAATTACCGTTTTTAAAATCCAAATATTTCCAAAAGTTAATTGAATTTAACTTAATGCTACCCCAACTTCAGAAGATCCAAGTGCATCCAAAGATCTAGTACACTAAACAGAATTTCTAAAAATCATTTGTAAAAAGCAAGTTCAAAAATACATTTCCAATGCTGGAACTTCAGATCTATGAAGACTACCTGTATAATAATAGCAGAAAAGAAAAATTAACCTTCTGTGTTATCTCTTTCCATTTGGGCTGAATAGTTATATTACATATTATATTGCTTACTTGTAGGATTATCTCGCTCCGATTCATACTTCAAGTCTTCTGTATCTGTTGATGTGGATAACTGAATATACTTCTGTTCGTATTCATCAACCTCTTTCTTAATTTCAACTTTAACATCCATACCTACCTAATAACTATAACAGTAATAACAATCTGATCTAGGCAAAAGCAGTAAAAGCACGCA